CAGATGGATGCTTTTGTCTTTCTTGGGCGTTAGTGATACTGGAAAGGACAAATGGGTGCTCTGGTTTACGTGAGAGTTGGCAGGGTGTCAGTGATACTGGAAAGAACAAATGGGTGCTCTAGTCCATGTGGGAGTTGGCAGGGTGTCAGTGATACTGAAAACAACAGATGGATGTTTTGTCTTTCTTGGGCGTTAGTGATACTGGAAAGGACAGATACATGTATTCTTTTATGGGGGGGGGGTGTTGGCAGGGGGGTCAGTGATACAGTATAGGACAGATACATGTATTCTTTTATGGGGGGGTGTTGGCAGGGGGGGTCAGTGATACAGTATAGGACAGATAGATGTAGATGCACTTGTCTTTGTGATGGGTCTTTTAGCATATGTATTTTAGAATAAAGGTCTGTCCATGTTGTCAACATCACAGTAGAATGCCTATACATGTAATTGGCAGGTCAACACAAAACAATATATATACATGTTTCTGCCTTCCTTATTATTCTGCTGTCTTATAATTTACATGTCAAGCCATTCTAGAGTTTAACCTTTTCACCACCAGACTTTCTCATCCAAATTTGTCTGTACTTTTTTCTTATATTTCTGGAAATGAACCCCAATTTTAAGGCTAACAGACAAAATTTGAGTCAATTTTCAGTTTTTACTCAAATAATTTGGCTATTTTTTCCCAACCTTCTTACGTGCAAACTATAAACGGAACTATTTTGTGAATTTGTGAAATGCTTAAATTTTAATTCATTACAAATAGATGTTTGTTAGCATTCGTTAAATGTTTGATCACAATTCTCTCTTTACAGGCTAGGTCTGAATTGAAATATTGAGTTAAAGATGGATGAGAATCAGAAAGTGTGGGCCCCAGACCCCATGGATGGGTTCAAGATGGGAACAATTGTTGACATTGGAAGTGAAACTGTCACTGTGGAATTATTTGAAAATAAGAAGGTAAGGTTAATTGTTTTGTTTGTATCAAGTTTGTACATAGACCCTAGAAATGTGCTTAATCTTTTTGCCACCAGACTTCCTTGCCAAATTTTTCTGCACTTTTTTCTTCTATTCTACAATAAATGTTCTATGTATTCTGCAATGTTCTGTAAATGACGCCTAATTTGAGTCAACAAAATTTTGTTATTTTTGTCCCAACCTTCTCAGTGTTCTCCCCAGGATGTAAACAGCGTGGCAGTGCCGCCACAGTGCTTCGATTTGCCGCCACACCGGTCTGACACCGCCACGGTGATTAGCAAGACCGCCACAGTGCTTTTTTTCATTGGGGATCTCGTCACGCTGGTCGGCCCGACCGGCACTCAAAATTAGCGACCACCACGGAAACGCTTCTGACCAGGACTATTGTCTTTTTGTTATTATACCGACCGACAAGCATCCTGCCAGTCGTGAATAATAATTTGTAAACAATAGACATAGTCGTGCGATGTGGTAGCGGCTTTAAACAATACAAGTCAATTTTGTAAAATTAGCACCTCTTTGTTTGTAAGTAAATATTTTCTGACGATAGACGCAGTCTTTAGATTGAAAGCTAAAATTCTTTCAAAATCAATTCCACCCCGATGTAACATGGGCAAAGCGGAGTTCACGATCAGTTTACGCTACTCAAGAAAAAACGACGTGTTTATTGCGTGATTGGGTAAAATACATTTGAATTGTTATCATCGTGAATCATGTTAAAA